GCCCGGTCTCCCGATTCGAGGGTAACTGGAATAAGGTATAATTTTCCGCGCCAATTAAGGTCTTTAAGAATTGCGACCAATTGAGCGGGAGGGTCAGGGCTTAGCTCTAGGGGAGAGAGATGTACCGAGGTTCCCCTATAATTTATTATTGATTAGATCGAATCGAGAAAAAGAGAGCCGCGGCGGACGAACGGAGAACCGCAATCCGTCTTCGGAGGATCGACTCTGAGAAGACGGCCACGTTCTTCGTCTCTTTATGAGGATGGAATGGCTAATAGGGAAATAGCGGAGGCCGTTTTTCCGGTTCGATTACCCGTCACCTGCTAATTGCCGATCCCCGCGCGCCTGCCGATCGATCCCGACGAGATACTTGCCGATACTTTTTAGGGTGACACTTTTAACGGTGGGGACAACCTTTTTTTGTAGGTACTTGGAAGCAATTCTGTATACAACAAAATTAATTTTTTTATTCTTCGAAGGTAATGTTAGTTAGGTTTTGTTTAATTTTTGATGGTCCAGACAGGGGAAGTGATGATTGATTGCCGATTTTTGGAAGTTGTTTAATTTGATATGGATAAATTGTCTTATTTTAATAATTATGTAACATCTTTTATAAATGATGGGAAAAGAAAGTATAATATAGTTATTCTTCGTTCAAAAAATTAAATTATTTTTAATTGTAATCGAAATCAATTATATTATCAAAATATTATATTATTGTATCAATTTATATTATAAAAAATTCGGACTATTTACTAGCATCGACAATTTTCAACATTTTTCGTGTTTTTAGTGAATTTTAATGGCTATCTAACGGTACTTAATAATAATTTGTTTTTGTTTTGACAATGTATCTATATATGTCTATTTAAATAGTAGTTACACATTCTATTATATCATTTTTGTATGATTTTGTCAAATATTATAGAATTTTTTTTCAATTCAATCAGTTAATATAATGATTATGTAGTCTTTTAATAAACTTCTGATATTTTCAATTGGAATAATTCATATTGGAATAATTACCATATATAAATTATTATTATATGAAAAATCTAACTAACTAATAATTAATAACTAATTATTAAAATTATATTGAAAAATCGTAAGTGATTCTAATTTTTTGATCAAAGAGTATATAAATATAAAAGTTAAATATAATTAAATTAAAGATAACAATATTTCTAACGTATTATTTTTATTATCGATTCAAAAACACAGTGTTTGATTTATTGGATCCAAAGGGATTGAAAATTTAAGTCGTAAAATTTTTTTGGAATAATTACCATATATAAATTATTATTATATGAAAAATCTAACTAACTAATAATTAATAACTAATTATTAAAATTATATTGAAAAATCGTAAGTGATTCTAATTTTTTGATCAAAGAGTATATAAATATAAAAGTTAAATATAATTAAATTAAAGATAACTATAACAATATTTCTAACGTATTATTTTTATTATCGATTCAAAAACACAGTGTTTGATTGATTATTGGATCCAAAGGGATTGAAAATTTAAGTCGTAAAAATTTTTTATATTCGTTCAAATCACGTCAGGGAAGCAAATCACGTTATCACTCTAAAAGAACGATTATCACGATTATCAATTTTCCCATCGAAACGTTAAAACGAAGAATTCCAAGGAATATCATGGAAAGAAACGTGGAATTATTTCCTCGTCGATATCTGGAACGCGCGAGGCCATCATCGGATCAAGTGAGGCGTGATCCACGCTCCTGTGGTTCACACTTAATTAAACCGCCATAGGAACTCGGCTCACAGCACGTGGCGGACAATGCTGCAAGTCTTTAGCGGCGATTGTTATGTAAAGCACACCCTATATATGCACCGCTCGGCTCCTCTCGACTCGATACGAGACGAGAAGTACGTACGAACTGTAACCGTCTACATCCACGGTCGCATCCACGGTCGGAGGAACTTTTTGAAAGCGTCAGCCACGAATTGCCTTGCATTTCTCACCTGTGAAATGGCGATTTTAGACACGAACAGAAAATAGCCCTAAAGTAGTTCGGGCTGTGAAAAGAAACAACAGATAATAATATCGTAAAATTATCATTATATATATTTTTCAATAAATTATATATATATATATATATATATATCATAGTGATATATTGAAATTATTATTTAAATTTTAATCTCAATTTGAAATGTTTATAGATGCTATATGAATTTTTTTTTAATTTTTTGAATGAAAACGATCCTATGATTGTCTGTCTAATTTCATGAATAAAGTTTTGTTAGAAAATGTACAAAATAGATCTTTCTATGCGAGTTTCTGATAAAAAATATCTATTTTTCAATTGAATGGATTAAAATTGATCTTAAACGAAAAAAATCTCAAATTATAATGCTGATTACTTAATAAACATGCAGAATGGTAACGTAATACGATTGATGTTGTAAAAATTTGTGTAAGATTTTTCGAAATAATTCTTTTGAAAAGTTATACACATTGCTAAAACAATTGAAATCATTGAAATCAATCAATCGATCGATTATATGAATGTTGATTCAAAATTGCTTTTGATTTTTGAAACAGATATATTTAAATTAGGAGAAAACATAAAAATTGTAATACTAGGGAAATATATTTGACCAAATTTAATTGAAATTCGTATAATACTGATATCACTGCTTCACATTTTCATAATACATAAAACTCTTTGCCAAATCATTTGTTATTTTAATCTTAGAATATTAATATCTTAAAATTCATATTAGAGACAAAGAGATATAATGAAGTTAATATTAAATTTATTTACTCTTATTTTTATCAAATAATTTGAAAAATTATATTTTAAATAGATTCGAAATAATAAAAATAAACAACCTTTACTCCAACATTTTCGTTTTCCTGTAAACCTAGATTCCCTGAATGAGCATGTTTCAATCGGATATCCAACGATTATTTCAATAAAAAAAAAAAAGAACTGATGATCTTTGTCCTCAATTATAAATTATCTCCCCTCAGATAACACAAAATCCAAAATCTTCAAACATTCTTCGATGGGAAAAACGATTATTATTTATATATTTCTAAGATTAATTAAAACTTCCTAACACAACTATAATATACTTAAAAAAGAAAAAAGCATACGAGATCTTTCTCTTCAATTAAATCACTTCAAAAAAATAATTCTCTTTCGCTACACGCGAAAATCAATGCTTCAAAATTCGATTCTCATCTATTCGACGGGGATGAAGGAAAATTTCCCAGGATCCTATATCCCCCTTCCCAGGGGGGAGAGGGGGAATACTCGAGGAAAGTAGAGTTACTTTCGCGAAACGAGGGCGCGGATACCTGAAAGAGTCCCGCTCGGTCGCGACCCTTCGCCATCCCCGTCGTCAATGAAAAAAAGCGGCCGAGTATCCCACTCCAAGTGCCGATCGCTCGTCACCTCGAGGTCGAGAGGTTCTAGGAACCGTGGATTGGCTCCTGGGGAAGCGCGACGACGCGGTAACAGGCGTGGATTGGTCGTAGGGCGAGGCTTGCGTCGTGACGGAAGCGTCGTCGGGCGTCCCGCGTCCAACCTGGATCTCGTCTAAAGCTCCACCTACGTGTCGACCCGCGAAACTCGAATTTCGAAGCTTGGAATGAGCCCGTTCCAACGCGTCGTTATCCTTTAAGGGGTTGGAGCGCAAGGGTGAGAGTAAATAAGCAAACGAGAGACGAACGAACCTCTGCTATTTCTTCTCCTTTTAATCTCACTCTGAGTGGACTTCCATGAGAATTTTCCAGCCAGGAATGCTTTCTCAGCTGAAGAAAGAAGATAAGACAATCTTCTAGGAAGATATAAACAATATTTAATTGCAGTACGTAATTTTCAAATTCAAGTATTCTCGATATTAGATTGGTCAGATTCACAGATAACAGATACATTGTTATCATCGTGTCTTTCGAGAGCAATGTATTAGAATTTTTCATTCAAAAATTCGAATATTAGGTAATTTTCAAATTTCTCNCTTGGAATGAGCCCGTTCCAACGCGTCGTTATCCTTTAAGGGGTTGGAGCGCAAGGGTGAGAGTAAATAAGCAAACGAGAGACGAACGAACCTCTGCTATTTCTTCTCCTTTTAATCTCACTCTGAGTGGACTTCCATGAGAATTTTCCAGCCAGGAATGCTTTCTCAGCTGAAGAAAGAAGATAAGACAATCTTCTAGGAAGATATAAACAATATTTAATTGCAGTACGTAATTTTCAAATTCAAGTATTCTCGATATTAGATTGGTCAGATTCACAGATACATTGTTATCATCGTGTTTTTCGACGAGAGCAATGTATTAGAATTTTTCATTCAAAAATCCCAATAATAGGTAATTTTCAAATTTCTCCTCTCGAGTATCGACACCAATTTATCCTTGGAAAAGATTTTCCATCTATCTTCACTCTAAAAAAATATTGGAAGGATATCTAGAGAGCAATGTATTAAAATTTTTCATTCAAAAATCTGAATAATAATGCAGTATATAATTTTCAAATTTTTCTTCTCGAGTATCGAGACCAATTTATCCTTGGAAAAGATTTTCCATTTATCTTCACTCTAAAAAAATATTGGAAGGATATCTAGAGAGGAATGTATTAGAATTTTTCATTCAAAAATCTGAATAATAATGCAGTATATAATTTTCAAATTTCTCCTCTCGAGTATCGAGACCAATTTATTCGTTCATCCTTGGAAAAGATTTTCCATCTATCTTCACTCTAAAAAAATATTGGAAGGATATCGTGGCGAGGGAGGAGAAAGAACGAATTCCGAAGTCGTCGCGATGGACGAGAGTGGAGGGATGTTTGGCTGGTGGGGGTGGTTGGGGAATAGAAGGGGAAGATGGCGCGCGCGCGGGTGGAAAGGGAAAGAAGGAAGCTGGCGGCGAAGTGGCCGCGGACTAATTCGAAAAATAAGTCCCCGGGAGCGACAAGCACACTTGACCGAAGCACGCTCGCCACGGAAGGGTGCGCCACGCCGTGTGCCCTCTCGAGTGCTCGCGAGTGACAATTAATAAAACGCCGTCGCGCCGCGTCCATCGTTGCTTCCTCCTACTCCCTGCACGGGTACAAGTTGTACCAGTCGACTCGTGACCACCACCGTGCGTACACCAGAGGATAGTGAGATTTAATCGATGACGATTTCCTTTTCTCAAAGAAATTAAAAAGAGGGATAAAGATCTGTAAGAAGGATCGAATGTGCGTGGAGTCCGAACGAGCGAGAGTAAATAAATAAAGTGTCGAACGATGTGTCGAACGAGGGATTGAAAGTGAAGAGTGTGAAACTTGATTGAAGGGATGGGGAACGAGATAAAAAATCGTTGATCTCGAGTGAAGATTTGGAATAGAAGAGGAAGAGATTTTAAATAGAACTGTTTTATCTGATAAAAAGAAAAATGTCGGATATTATAGAGGACGACAAACGAAGCGAAGCCTCCCCAAAACCCTCCTCCCAATTGACTCCCTTCAGCATCGCCGACATACTCAGCAGAAGAACTTCTTCTTGCGCTGAGCGACGAGCCTCGGAGTCGGAAGAGGCGCGAGTCGCGACGTCGTTCACGAGGAAGCCCCATCGAGAGTACGACTGTTCCGAGAACGAGCATAGGGAAAGTCAGTCGGAGGATCGTAATCAGATGGCGAGATTCTCGAGGCTACCTTCGCCGGATCTGAGCGTGGCCCGAGAATTGGACATCCTGACGAGGAATCTGGTCCACGCCAACATCTCTAACTTCGGGACTATACCCCACTTGGCGCAGGGAACGTTCAAGCACCTCGAGAATCTAGGAAACATGGGTGGTTATCAGCCGGTGAAGGACTCGAGGGAAGCTTTGCAGAGGCAGCAAGACGAGGCGTTGGACATGAGCAAGAATAAATATTTGGGTGAGTTGCGAGAGTAACAACAAGCTTGTTTAATCAAGAAATGTTTGTTTCTATAATGCCTCTATTGCAAAAAAAAAAAAAGGAAAGGAAAGGAAAGTTCAGAGGAGTGTCCAAGACAAATTTTTCTAGGATAATTCGAATTTTCTCTGTTCTATATTGTATTTATATCCAGGGATGGGATAACTAGAAGCAAAATTACGAGGTCTGCAATCGGCTCGCTCTATCGATGGCGATAACCAGATACGTAGAACTGAATGAACGAGAGAAGAGTAAGGAGGCGAGGTCCACTTAGAGTGGAAATCTCGAGGCCGCTTCCCTTCTGGGTGATCGTGTGTCTGCCACGAGGATGCGAGCTTAAGAGATCATTTAAGCCCCCGGTATCCTTGTAACAGGCGAGCTTTTCAAGGGTTTTTTAAGTTAACCCGAGCGCAGATAACGTGATCGAATGTAATTTTAGTAGCATAAGTGGTGCTCGAGTACGGCAGACGTCACAAGTGGCCGGCCACTCTGCTTCTTGCACTTGTTCGATCCCTGGCCACACTGTTGCTCTGTCTTGGATCCTCGACGATCCCTGGATCGCGGCAAAAAAACAAATTTAGATCAAGGTTACCTAGATCGATTCCGAAGAAGTGAGTTTTTCTTACCACGTAATCGTTCGAATAACAAACTTTTATTTTACTTCCAGTTCAAAGATTTCTCTTTGGACTCGATGTGATATTTTCCGATAATTTCGAAAATTTTTTTTCACAACAACAGAAAGAAATTCGATAATGAAAACGTTTCCTTCAGTACCTGAAGTTTGTTTCGCTCGTCGAATGATTCCTTCGCTCGTTCGAGGGTGAAGAGGAACAGGCACGAGCTGGCACCATTTCAAGGCTCACTCACGAAATTACCGAGTCCCCCGCCACCGTGCTCTCGAGTCACTTAATACGGTAATGGATAGGATATTCGAAGCCTCGTTCCTTAAACCCAGTTCCCAATACAAAAGTGCGGTTAAATTTCGTGTTAAATTTCATGTTAAAATCATTATCGAAAAGGATTTATCGGAGAACATTTATCTTGAAACTGAAGTTTGTGTAAAGAATTAATCGAAATATAATCAAGGAGGATTCGGCAATAAGGGGGGAGAGGGGATAAAGTTTCGTTTGATCAGCGTTTAACGGGCCATATCAATTTATTTGAAAACGATGAGCGGACGCTTCGTTCGGTTTGAGGTGCACCCCGAAGGGTCATCTCTCTCCGATGTAATCGGAGTGAGAGCAAACGGCACTTGCTGCTCTCGAACACTCTCGATGTAGGACGCGTAGGAGATGTTTGACGAGCGTCAGAGGAGGGACGCATTAGCCGAGACGAGATGGCATAGAGTTGACGTCGAAAGTGATCAAATATAGATCTCTCTAAATGCCTTCGAGTCCCCCCATTGGACCGGCCATTGCCGATAAACATTGACGCAGGACCCGGAATATACGAAATAATTATGATGTCACATGGATATGATTTTTCAACCAATGTGTTTTTCTTCAATCTTTTTAATCACGTTTCGAATCTTCTCTTTCTCTTTTCTTCGTTTGACTTCGTTCGGTGGAAATTTCATCGATTTTATACCTTCTTCGAATCCTCGTTTCTCTTTTCAGATTTTTATATGATTTAGATGTAGATGGAATCTACAGTTTGAATATTTTAAAGTTTTGAATAGAAGTTTGACGAGTTTAATTTCGTCAATGGAATCGAGACAATAATTTTGGTAAATTTAAATTTTGTATTTACGAGTATTTAATGAGGTTATAATATTAAGTATCGTTACATTTGCTTAAATGTTTTAGAAAATATCAGAATTCTTCAAAACTATTAGTAAATTGCAATTTTGTTATTTCATAAGTTTATTTATTTATTTATTCTTGAATGAATGTAATATAACATTTTAATATCTTAATCATTTTAATATTATTTTAATATTATTGCACTCGTTTCGTAGAAATAAATAAATTTTTATGATGATTTATTTTTGATCGGTGCATTAAAATACTAAATCTGATACATGTGTAAAATTTCAAGTTAAATCGATACTCAAGAGGTTAAGCGCCATCATTTAAGCACTTGTTTCTTAATTCCTAGTTTTAGAGCTGAAAATAATTCATATCTCTCTATCTATCTATAAATTTATTTTGATAATTTAATATTAAAAAATATAAACATAAATTGAAATAAAATTAAAAATTTAAAATTTGCATTCTTCGGAAAATGAAAATAATTGTTTTATTAAAAAATATTACATAATGACTTTCGATATCTTTGCTTGTTTTTTTTCTTTTTTTTCTTTTTATTTAATTAATATTTTATTCCTTATTTCATCGCTTTAATTTTCTTATATATATTACGTATTAATATACTTTTCTGCTTTATGCAATAAATTTAATTGAGATTGGAAAAGTATCGATCATTTAAGAAAAATTATTTAAAAATAAATCTATTTTGTCAATCCTCCTTTGTTTCCTTAAATAGAATTTTCTTTTCATACTTATTATAGAAAATGTATATAATATACTTATAAGCAATATTAGAAAAACCAAAATGATTGATCAATATTTTTCTAATCCTTTTGATGAGAACATTATAAATATAAATTATTAAATAATTAAATATAATATTAAAAATAATAAAATTATTTCATTAATATGGCAAAAAATTTGTTTAATTTATAAAGTTATTATTTTTTAAATATATATTCACAAAATTAAAAATAAAACAATAAAATTAAAATAATATTTTCGATTTTTTATTTTACTATTTCAAAAAGTTTATTTTTATATTATTGGTAAATGTTTCAACTATTATAAATCGCTGAATATTTTTTTTTTTTTTTAATTAAATTTTAAAACATCAATTGCATATTGTTATTATATTTTAGTTAGTTTTATCGATATAATATAATAAAATGATTAAAATACAGTGTAATTTAATCATTATACTGAATCAAGAGTGAAATGAATTTTGAGAAAATGTAAAAAAAATAGATCTCCAAATATAAAATTTTATCTTGGATAATTTTTATTTTAGGAATCTTCAATTCACTCTCTCAAAATTTCAATGTGATTATTGGATTATATCGTATTTTATCCAAGATAAAAGATTAAATACAATAAATGACGTAATACAGTTTTTTCGTTCATTTTTTATGAAAAGTGACGCTCATTATAAACTTTTATAATAAACGCAACGTCCCAACGTTTATTCATCCGATATATATACCACCAATATACAAGGTGTTTGCAGAAAAAGGGAAAATAATTCAACAGGTAATTTTAGAGAACAAAACAAACTTCAAGTTATAAATAATTTAATTAAAACGAGAAAATAAAACCGTCTCACTTTATTTATTTACTTTATCTAATGCAGAATAAAATTATTTATAAGAATAATAATAAAGAATCCTTAAATTTTCTTCCCATTTTGTTCAAATACGCATTGCGTTTATTAAAGTCATTCAAGTTATTGAACATTATTGTTCATAGAGAATAAGAAAGAAATATATAAGGACTTATATTACAAAATGAGATTCTTATTAATTCTGATATCTAATTACCTTTGATTTGTAACTTTGTAACGAAATTTCTGTCTATACTAATTATGTAAATAATCGTTTTTCTTATGTATCCGTGCAAGAGAAAACTATCTCATACAGAATTTTTTAAAATGATTTTCGTAATTGTTATACATAAACATAATTTCGTAAAAAATGATAAAATCGAAATATGTAATATATTTTATAACAAAATATCATTTATTGCAAAAAAGTCAAATATTACAGGACAATGATGAAGTAAAAAATATAAAAATATGAAATTTAAATTATAATTATAATAATGTCACTTTTAATTATTTACGAGATTATTCGATAGAATCTTCAAAATCCATATAAAAATATATATTTTATTAAATTAAAATACTTCTAAATAAAATATTTTACGAAAAAACATTTTTTCCATATGTATTATCTTTATATTAATAAATTTAAACATTCAAAAACTGCAGTCTCAATTACGCAATTTCTATCGAAACACTGTTTTCATTTATCTAATAACGTTACCATTGTGGCATAGCTCTTGCATTGAACCATTCAATTATATTCTATTATTCTATTATATTCTGAAAACGATTGTTGTTTCTACTAAACAACTAACGTTCAGTAATTTCCCCACTTGAATATTAAGAATAGACGAAACAAAACAGATTGACAAAAATAAAACAATCCATTAAACTATTATTCCAATATTATTTCCCCTTCTTTTTACATTCTTCCTAACAATTATTAAACAATGAATCGAATGCAACGTCCAAAAAAAGATATTAAAAACGAATAATCCGAGATACAGCGTCGCATAAAAACGGGGCAAATTTCTCCTAAGTTTAAAAGCTCATTCTCCGCCCCGAGAGAGCGGAATGATCGGCTCGTAGAATTTTCGTGGAGCCGTTGGCGAACGCGATTGCACTCCACTGCAACCGGTTAAACTTAGAGGAGAATTACCGTGGAACAGCAGCGTAAACATGTCGGAGTAGCGAGTGCACGTGTTAATGTTTGAACGAGACATCAAAAGCGGGCGGAACTCTCTCCGCCGCTTCTATGGCTGCTGTCTGCCGATGGTTATTCGTTTTCCCCACCCAACCACCCCCTCATCGCCTCGTTCCGGTCGAAAACGTTTGATTTATGATCGCGGTAGATCATCCTTTCCCGATCTAACGCGTTTGTTTGTACGGGAATTTGGAGAAGCTCGCTCGGATTTCCCTCTGTAACTCGAGTTTGTTTCCAACTGGATGTTTCGCCCATCCATCTCGGTTTCGATCTCGCGCCGATGTGCAACATCTCTTCACCTCGAGCTCGATGATTATCGTCGTCGAAGGTTAAACGTTTGATATTTTTATTACAGAGGACGGAGAGGAGGATATGTACGAGGCCCAGAATCACGGGCAGAGCCTTCAGAGCAGGAAGAAACGGAGCAGAGCGGCGTTCTCTCATGCGCAGGTTTACGAATTGGAGAGAAGATTCGCGGCGCAGAAATACTTGTCGGGCCCGGAACGAGCGGACCTGGCGCGGGGATTGAAGCTGACCGAGACCCAGGTCAAGATCTGGTTTCAAAACAGACGGTACGATAAAAACGATTCTTTTTCTTTTTTCTTTTTAATTTTATTCGAAATTAATTCCAACGACTGTTAAGATACTTAGAGTTGAAAGTTGCCAATATCGTATTATTATAGATAGATAGATGTTTGTCGTAGGAATTTTGTATTTTTTTTTTTTTTTATTGTATCAATAGTTTTATGCAATTTTTGCAATAATTTGATGTAGGTATAATTTTTCTAAAAGTTTTCGAAAATATTTAAAAAAGGATTCAAAAAATACGATTTAGGTGCTTTAAATCGTACCTCATTAAATCGTCCAAGATTGTTATATATTTTATTTTTCACATTATAAATAATAAATGGCATAATTTAGAATAGGAAATTATTTATTATTGTTTATATTTATTTGTTCAATTATTTTTAAAGTGTATACAGACTTTGGTCTTTTTTGATATTTACAAGTTTCACGAATGCATAATTTATGAACAACACGTTAAATCATATCTTTTATATCTTCTTCACTAGTGGTACTAAGAAACATTCTAGTGATATTTAGAGAACATTCCAGTGTGCAAACATTCTAATACGATTTACAAAACATGATTAGAAAATATTTACGATTTACAAAATATGATTAAAAAATACGTGTACATAATCTCAACAAACAATTTTACGCAAATAAATAATATGAAATATACAAATCTAACTGATAAATAAGTGATCATAATAAATTTTATAATGTTTTTATAAAGTTTTATTAAGTTATATAGATTTATCTGTTTTTTATAAGTATAGATATTAATTGAGGTAAACATTACACTGTCTTATTGATTATAATTTATCTTTTTTTTCTTATATTATTAGTATTGCTAATTAATATATATGTATATATTTATTTGATACTTGTTAAATAAAAGTTTTTTTTACAATAACTTTAATTATATTTTATCTTTAAATTATTATAGATATACAAAAAAGTTTTGTTCTTCTTTTTAAAAAATATAAGTATAATTAAAATAAATAATCATTTATGAAATTTAAGATATCATACTGATTCATAATTATAAATAAATGTTTAAAAAAATTGATAGTGAACTATATTTAAGTTCATTACAAGATTTAAGTAAATGTAAATGTAATTTTTTTTTATATGCTTATAATTGTATTATAATTTCAAAAATTTTTCATCTTATTTGTTATTTACACAGTTTTGATAATCAATATTTGAGGAATATATAATCATTATTTATTTTTCATTTTTGGAGATTCAATTTTTTTTTTAAATTTTTAATTTGTTTTATGTTTGTTTCTTTAAGTATCATATGCCTTTCTGTAGAAGATATCAATTAAAAATTGAAATAACAAATTTATTAGATTATAGAACATTCTTATAATTATGCATCAAATGCAATAATCAAATAATTTAAAAATTTTCTATATAAAATTTATTATTTAAAATATTTAATTATAATATAAATGTAATATATTAAAATATTTTTCAAATAAATTTTGAAAAAATAAAATAGTTCAAAGAAATAAAATTCTGATTTTAGAATATCTTATATATTCCTATTAAATTTTATAAATGATAAAATATGATTGAAAAATACGATCCACTATTCTAAAGAAATAAAATCACAGAAAATTTACAAATATAAGAAAGATCTGAGAAAGAAAAGAATTTTCGAGACAATCAAATGAATATATTGTATATGCAATTCTTGTTAAATCTGGTCAATCACCTTAAAAACTAAAAATAAAAAAATGCATAAAGATAAATTTGAAATTTATAAATTTATAAATTTATAAACAAGAAAATTATAAAATCGATATTTATACTTTTTTTTTTTAAAGTTGCATGTAATTATTATTTTCTATCTTTTTTGTATCTTTTATTTTTTACATAAATAAGGACTTTCTTAATTATTCAATATTGCAGTGTTAAATGAAATTAACAATTTTAAGAATTTTTAATTCTTCTATATTCAATGCATAACTAATATATTAATATTCAAATTTGAATTACTTATTAATTAATTTTAAAATAAAATTAATATATATACGTATTTTATTTTCAAAACTATTTTAAAATTTCAACTTATTTTATCTTTTCAATCAAAATTTAATAGAAATGCATTTGTAATCGTCAATTGCAATTAATAAATTAAGAAAGCAATTAAATAATTTTCAAACATGGATGTTTATCATAAAAAAATACGTATCTAATAAAATAAATATATTTAAAAAAATGCTTTTAAATACGCTACTTAAAATACTTATAATCATTCTATGTTCGAATAATCAATCATTTGAATAACCAAACTTCGAATATATAATTTTTTCGTATATTTAATCAATTAAATCAATCAATTATATTTAAATAAATTTTATTTAATCATTAATTTCATCAATTATAATTCTTTTTTTTTTTTAATTCTTTATTCAGTGCTAGGGAAAATTTGAAATAGTTAGTATTTTGAGACAAAATTGAATTATTAAAATTAAATTATTTTCATAAAAACAAATTTTGAAAATATTAATTCATTATATTCTAATGAAAATACTATTTCATTTCATATCTAAGTCAAATTCAAAAATCATGCTATTTGAAAATATTACTTTGTTATCGAAAATAAAAAATTCAAATTTCAAAATAATAAAAAATCTTATGTTTAATTCATATAATGTATATTTCTTATATTATTTTATTATATACAATTTTGTCATTTTGATGTTATATAAACTATTAACACTGTTACTAAAATCTTAAAGAAACTGCTTATTCAAAACGCTTAAAATTATTTGAAATATTTTTATATTTCGACAAAGCACTATTACCAAAATATTACCATTGAATATATAAAATACTACCGTTTCATTATTTCAAAATATTTCAATCTCAATAAGAGAGAACTTTATTCTTCAAAAAATCCAATATCACTTGACGACAAATAAAAATATTCATTTCTATTCTTTGTCTTTCGAGAAATCTCGTCCCAGGAGAAAAGTGAATAAAATAAAAAAAAAAAAAAAAAAAAAAAAAAAACAAATTCGAAAGAAACGAACAATTTTCTAATCAAATTAACGAATTTCTAATCCTCGATGGTCCCAGGTACAAGACCAAAAGACGGCAGCAACAGGAGCTAGGCGCTCTGGTTAATTCCGGAAACGCGAGGCGCGTCGCGGTTCGAGTCCTCGTGCATCCGGACGAGCATCTGAGGGGATTGCCACTTCGTGGTTCCGGCCAACTTCCCGGGCAAATGTCAGCCCCGCAAATTCATCCGGCGAACAAAGCGCTCGGCGGTTTCCCATACTACTGCCTCCCCTATCATCCCCTGCTCTGCCCGCCCCTTCACTCCACTCATATTCAGGTGCAAAACACGATCGCGCCGGACCTAGATCCGAGCCAATTGGCCAAACTCAACGACGAGAAGTAAATCGAAAATTTCCCTGATTTCGGATCGGATCGAGATATTAAAGTGGTATTCGGCTGAAATTGCGAATTGGGATTGTTCGAACGTTCAGCTTGTGTACAGGGTGTTAATAAAATTTGCGAAACATCTCTCTCGAGGAAGGGTTCGATTCTAGAAACGAAAATAAATGTGAAAGTGAACATGGCTTATTTATTGTTATTATTATTTTTACGGTGCGTATATTTTCGAGCCAATATCAAAAATTTTAGATTAAATAGAAATATCGTTGTGAAAACAAAGGAAAAATCATTAGTGCGAATGAATATTATTTCCAGTAATTTCCTATGTTATTAATTTATTTTTCTTTTCACTATGATTAAAAGATAATATTTTTATATATCATTATTTATACGTCATGTTAAATTTAGCAATAGAATTGTTTAAAAAGGAATTCAATGGAATGGATTTCATGAAGTAGATAGGAAAGTCGAAATTCGCAATATAAAGGTTGAATTATAAACAATTGAAGTTTTGTGCTTCTTTTTGGTTCCTAGAATCGATCTTCCAAAGATGAGCCACGAATACAATATATCCTATTGTGTCTAACTATGGAGAAAAGAGGCATGAAAAATTTGTTCGTAGTAATTTATAATGAAATTACTGCTTTCTCTTGTTTGTTTTTAAAAAAATATGTATTGACTTACAATTGGCAGATATCTTTATAAGATTTTCCAAGAAAATTTAAAGGTAATTAACAAAATTAAAAAACATTGACATTGTAAATTGTACTTATTATTTTATTTAAAAATTAATCGAATTGTATTTATTAAAAGAAAAATATTTATGCAATGCTTTTTGATTTTAGTATTCAAATTCATGTAATATTAGTAGATTGCAAATTAAACTTTAAAATAGAACTGAAATAAAATTTTAAAGTATCATAATACATATATTGTATATTTTATCTAGATTCTTGTATATTTTAATTTCCCATGAATGGATAAATCTACTTGTTACAAAAAACAAAAATTGCTCATCCTTATAAATTAATTCATAATTATAAATTAATTCATTTAACAAAATATCATTTCTTTACTTGCCATCTACAAATCTAAAATTTCGTTTTACATTTTTCCACAGTCATTGATTTTCTCCATAGTTGGACAATATTGCGTTGTTGTTTCCGGATGAAAGTTTTCAGAAAATTTCTAGATCGGTGTAAGTTATTGTAGATCGGTTAAGCTAGTCCGAATTGTGCTCGATTCTTTCCTTTTTCTAAAATGTTCTAATTAATTTAATTAATAATGAAAAATTAAAGAAAAAAAGTTTAAGAAGAGAAGGATGTTCGTGAATTGTGCAACTATTGTATAACTATTATTATTCTCATGTAGTTTTATTTTCGTTATCTTTTTAAATTAGTCTATTTTCTCTCCGTTCTAAGCGAGGAATTGAAAAATGTTGACTGAGAATTGAATACGGATGTTAAATATACATCGCAATGTAAATGTTCTTGCGTTCAATATTCTTTAAATGATTCTTAATCGAATCTAAGTATCGATTATCGATTATCGATACGTCGAACGAATCCACGCGTTAATTATAAATTTAAAAACGTATAAATATATCATATCGCAGACTAGGAAGAGGATCGTGTAAATTAGCGTGTAAATAAAACTGTATAAAATGCAATTTCGATCGCACGGTATCGGTAAGTGAAATATTTATTTATTCTGTGACCATAGAATATCATTTGTTATGGCTGCCACGTGAAATTCACAATTGAATGTGTATATAGAATAAGTGTATATACATATACATTACATTTCATAAAATTTGTAGAAAGGAGGAACTATTTATTGTTTATTATCATAAATATGTTTTTTTTTTCTACTTCGAAGAATAAATAACAACGATAAATTAATTTATTTATTGCAAATATAATAAAATTGAACGAATATAACATTCATCGTTTTTTTATACTGATATATTAATTTTTTTTTAAAATATGTCTTTCTTTAACATTGTTCATTATCTTTTATACAGCAATTTTTATTATTAAATATTTTTCCATTCATTTCGAAAAACATGCACTTCTTCTATATGCTCATTCAATTAATGTTATCCAATTTAAAATTTCAAATGTTGAAAAAAATTTCTTCAATCTTTCACATTATTCTTTTTATTATTATTTCATTAATATTTCAACAAACTCAATTTTTCTAAAGACTGGAATAATAACAGCGGCAGTCCATTGTTTTGTACCCAAATTTTAAAAAGAGCTATGCAAAAGAAAGATCTTGCGCAAAGCGAATTCGATAAGAAAGAAAGAAAGAAAAAAAGAAGAGACAATTACGTGCAATAAAAATCGATCAACATTGATATTGATTAATCATAGTGACATTAATATAAGCACGCGTCCAACCCAACAACTCCGATTGTTTCTGCGTACCTATGTGATCATACAGATTTATCTCGAAATATACGTGGTTCATTAAGAAAACAGATCAAGTGTTTCTTCTTACTTGCAACACCCTTTTGACGAGTTACTCGTCTACAAGTCGCAACTACGCGGATAGTAAAAACTTGACGTGCTTGACCCGAGACATCTTCCAAAGAAGTATCTCCTTTTTTCTGGATCCCTCCTTGCGAGCTCATTTATGTTCATGTGTGTGTGCGTATGTGTGTGTGTGTACGTTAAAACGTCGGCATTTTTTGCTCCTGTTACACGAGAGTTTACCATTTAATCGTTGGAAAAATAAAAAACGATATTAGAAAACGAGTTATATACTTTTCGAAACAAATATTATTTTTTGAAAGTATTAAAATTTAAAGAACTCTTTCCACTTTTTTAATTTTTTTCAAATTGAAATTTCTTCCCCTTCGTTTCAAATTTCATCACTTGAAAGTTAAAAATCCCAATTGGAATCGCTTTCCTGCTCCTTTATCTTTTCTCTTTGAAAATTTTATCTTTGAAAATTTGCAAGCTTTAAATTTAAAAGTTACAAAATTCCATTAGAACGATTCTTTTAGAACAATGTTTTTTATATAATATATATTATTATTTATTTAATTATAATTATTATTATAATTAATATATTATTAGAATTTTGTTTTTTATTTTTTATTTACTTCATTTTTGAAATTCTTGCAATATTAAAAATTGAAATATTAAAAATTCCATTGAAACGATTATTTAAAATCGTTTTCCTTTTTCCTCGTTTCATAAACTTTATTTTTAAAATATTACAGCAAACTCGAGATGTGAACATTGTAATTTTCATTGGAACGAATCATCAAAAATCTCAATCTCGTTTCAGTGGCAATCGAGGCCACGCATTGGCTCGACCAGAACGGTTCGATATCTCGATACAGCTGGTGAGTGGTGCACAAGTGTCGATTAAATGGCGCTCGCGAAAAATCGGCACGCTATTAGTCGTCGGATGGAAGGGACTTTCCCATAAGAGTTTTAATAGCGCCGTCTGGGTGGGCCCGACAGACATCAGATATGTTTATTCAGACGTGGAGACGAGCAGACTTAACCGACGGATGAGAGAAAAAAAGGCTAGATCTGACACTCATCTGTTATAAACAAACGAGTTACATTATCCTCCTTGAAAGGGCCTTTGCGCCTCGTTCTCCCGATCTGCATAAAAATGGAGTGCCCCTGTTCAAAAATGTGCCCCGTTATCGTGTGTCACTCAGTTTATGGAACTATTCTTTCTCGTTAAAACGAGAATTTTCTTAATAGAGAAAAGAGTATGAAAAATGGAGTAAAAATACGAAAGAATAGTTTTCAACTTCTGCACTTCTTGATGATTTTGACAATGATTATATTTGAAATGGTGTAAGGATTAAAATAATTTCATAGTAATCATCGTTGTTGATTATTTTTGTTTAATAAAACTTTTATATTTCAGTTGTAAGCAGAAAGTTTATTTTAATTTATATAATTTATATAATTTATAATAATCGTAGTTTTAATATATTAATGAAAATTTGAAGTATTCCTGATATAATAGAGAAGATGAAGTTATAAAAGAAGTTATAAGAGTTATAAGAGAAAATGAAGTTGGTGAAGTAAATTGATGAAGATACAATAATTTATGATTTTTTTTCATATACTATGTTACAAGGAAATTCACTTAAATCAATAATTCTGATTTTTTATTGAAAGTTTGTGCAGAATATAATGAGTTACATCTGAGAATTTTTTTTATTGATGGGAATAGATTAAATGTCTAAGGAAGGGAGAATCCAGTAACTCGAAACTCGAACAAAAACTTGAAAGTCAAATCAAAGAGTCACTTTAGTTGTAGTAGCATTAATCTATTTAATAACTCCTCGAAGAAAAATCAAGTAATGGTAAGTTAATCGATTATAATCTTCAAATAGAATGTTGATAAACATGATTACTTGATTGATTATTGTTAAATATTTTATATATATTATAAATTATTTTATATTGTTACGTATTTAATAAAAATATTCAATTCTTATTGAAATTGTTTTATTTACCAAAATAATTATTTGCTAAAATAATCTTTTGAAAATGAACAATTAAAATGTCTTATATTGTGTAAATTTTAGAAATCTAAAACAGATTAATCAACCAATTTATCTTAATTAAATAAAGAAATTTCGAAACTTAAGTAACTTAAAGATCGAATTATTCGAAATTCAAAAGTTCATTGTATTTTTTATTTACAATAATATCTACAATTGATATAACTTTCGAATAATATAATTCTTTAGAAATTTTGGCAAATGGCAACCAAGTTATATCTATCAAAAATCTATGTGTATGAACACCAATCGTGTTTATTTTTAAATAGTATTTTAGATACTAGCCTCTAGACATACTTCTAGTAATGAATTCGAAATTATTCGAAATTATTTTGAATCTATATCATATATAAAGCATTCCCCTTTCTCTTACCATGACAAATGTTAGAGAAGAGACACGTGAAAATTATAATATACTATTTTATATATTGAAATTTGTTTCACTAGTTATGTACAAATAAAATTTACTTTTAAACAAAAGAAATTAATTTGTTAAAAATTATCCGGCTCTTCAGCAATTCAATAAATATTATTTATAAATATTTGGCACACAAAAAGATTCGCCATCATTGTTCTACACGATGAGACATGTCTTGAGACAGGATTTATGGCTAATGAAATCAAACAGAGACAATAGAAAGAAATTTGAAATGATTCCAAGTGATT